AATAGCTTTGCACTTACGCATCTAGCCGCTCTGTATTTGCACAGAAGAAAGTATCATTTTTATTGCACTATCTCTCAGGCTAGTATCATTGACGTATCACGCAGTATCTGGTTTATGAACCAGCGTAACTCTTCTGATGTGAAAGCTACATTTTCTATCGGATATCTTGTTATCGCGGATTCCTGGCAGGCACGTTCTGCTAGTTGGTTTATACAGGCTACAGCATAATGCTCACTTTTTGGCTATCGACTTCAACACCTACTCGGTACTCAGTCGATGTGCCACCATGGTTGCGAGGTTCTGAAAATGGCCCCATACCTTTTTTGGTACTGTGATTTTGTGGGCAGGCTGGATTACCGATTTTCAAGCCCTCTTTCTTGGTGCACTTGAATGGGATTCAGTCTTATTTTTTTACTGGAGCCTGAACCAACGGCCAAGGCCCGCTATGGCTATAGCCTCTTTGTGATTTTTCACATTGTAAGAGCAGTGATTTCCGGTGTCTATGGCTACATCGGGATGATATCCCTTTCACGAATTTCAAGCCAATGTTATGGACGTTCAAGCTTGGGTCAAGGCCATCGTAGTGCTTCAAACTGAGCGCGACTATCAAGATATTCTATTTAAATCTCGGAGCCTCTCAGGACTTCAACGGCACAGTCTGCACGAGCTGTTGGTGAGCCTCCACCTTACTAAAGCGCAGCCACTGTGCCCCGATGCTATGGATCATAAACGGTTTTCCCTGTGTTTCCTTTTTTTCCTTTTGGTAAGAAAGTACCCAATTTTCGATGCATGAAAAATGGGTATGGGAAACTTTAAAGGTGGCCACAGCGCAGCACTGTAGCCAGTGTTAGCGCCCAATTTGTCGTCAATGAATTACTGAGACAATTTATCGTTTTGGAAGCATATCAATTTACAGAGACCCTGCGATATATAACTTACCGTCGATAAGGATGACTGCTGGGAATGATTTGTGCGAGCAAATGTGCAAAAAGCAAGCTTGCGCCATCCAATTTTGTCTGCAACGTCGTGATTATCAGGAGAGCAAATGTGCAGCGGTCATTAAGCAGTACTACGACTGCTGCAACGCTGCCAAGAAAGCTGAGCAGACGATAAAAGCAAGCTCCAATGTAACAACGTCCTTGTCATTAAAGTTTATAAGCAAAGTTCACATTTTCATCAGTATCTACTCTTTCTTAAGCTTATAGGATTCAGATCCAACAGTGCGGGGTGAAAGCAAATTGCGTCGAACTCGGCCGAGAATCCATAGCACGTGGGAGCTACTCAGCATTAGTGCACTGTTCAGCAAATTGGAAGTTAGATCTAACAGACTTTTCCAGTCATTTTCGTTTTTCATACCTAATCATTTCCCATGAGTAGAGGACAAAAGCAGAGAGCAGAAATTGCAAAAGTAGCAGCACAATTTGCACCAATGTCAACATTGCAAGCCGCACATGTGGATCGTTAATATTCGAGTGTTTATTCTGCAGTTCGGAAGTATTGTGATCGGTGGCGTCAGTTTTTAAAAATCTGGCTTGGAGCTTGCTTCTGTTTTTTTTCTTCTGAAAGTGCAGTGAAGCATACTTTGTCAGTAACCGATCATCAGCCATAGAGATGTTGTCGAACTACCTTTGAGTTACCCACAAGCATCTGCTCAGAGTCACAGCTTTCAACATCTAGCCACAACTGCTCCATGATAGCAACACCACGTTCCTTTGTCCTTGTAAAATCATCGCTTGTGCTCAAACCAAAGCAATTAAGTATAACATGTTTCGCCGTAAGCAGCACTCCCACGTGCACAAATGCTGTCGTTGCCGTCAGAGCAAAGGCCATACTATCATAGACCCATTCTTTCCTCTGCACAAAGCACAAGTTAAGGACATTACAGCAAAACCCAAAAACATAAATTGAAACAGGATTCTTACAAAGTTAACACAGATTGGAAGGCCAGTGACCAAATATGTGGCTTCAACAGCAGACAAGAAAATCTGTTGACGCGTAAATCGTCCTTGCGTCGCCTTCATTAGGTATATCATTACAGCATCCAGTAGAAAGCTATAATCGTTTCGCAACAATTGTTTTACAATCAGTAATCTTTCGTCCTTGTTTTACTAACTAGACAACTTACGCAACCGCGAAAGCCAACACTTGGAAGGCGTTCAGAGGAACCTCTACAAGACAAAACACAAATGCCAGTCCAACCACAGTCAAGCAAACTATTGCTCCTCTGAATGAAATTTCGAGATCGCTGCCAGCTATGAGAGCAACGCGTGGTAGAAATAGCCGCACAAAGCTCTTCCTCATCATCCAGACGGCAATTCCAACAGCAGAGACGACCTGTACAAGTGACACAGTCTTTTGCAACAAAGCAAACCGGTAAAACTTGCTCTATGTATCTGGTGATGACCTCTATGGCATAATTACACGTACCTGGACAATGATAAGAGCGTTCTGTACTGCGAGCGCCACGAGACTATGCAGGAGGATAGTGCGCTCCAAAGTTGTCGGGATTTCCATGATCTCATCGCTTAACTGGTCGAAATAGGTCCCCACTTTCTGTAAAGTATTTTTAATTGCTTCATGGTTGACAGTCGTAGCGGTAGGTGTCCGCTGTGTCAGCGGACCGGTGACATTCCGTCGCTTTTTAGCCATAGTGAAGTATCAAGTTAGTTCATGAAATGCGAATGATAATGCGGCAGATTAAAGAAGCTTTATGGCCAATGATATGTCGCTACTTAGCATGACAAGGGTGTTAGTGTAATGGAGCAGACAGGAGAATGTCGTAAATCGATTTATTAAGTTTTTTTATAGAACAAACAACACGCGGATCGGCGCAAACGCTAAATTAATGGCAGTGAGGAGTTTGCATTCCGTTTCCGCATAATGCCCCACCGTCGATGATACTTATAATTTGGCACACCCTCTTTCCCGAGTACGCGGAATGGTCGGGCGCTAATGTGTTTGGGTAGGCTTTGAGCCCATTTGTTTGATCACGCAAATATTTGTGTACTACTCTCGACCCTTGGACGCAGCGTCGGAAAACCTAACATAATCCAAAAAGCTGCACCGTGGATGAAAGCAAGACGGCTAACAGTAGCTCAACCTGGGTGCCACGGTTACGGTACCTATAATATACAAGATTTGCAGCGATTACATTAATGTCAACCTTTCAGAGGCAATCGGACTCAGCAGAGTAAATCGCATTAGGTTTTTAATTTGGGATATTTGCTCATGTTTTATGAGAAGTTGAAGAATTTTTCCAACTGGAAATCTTCGTCTTAGTAATTAATTGGAATTAGGATGTTGTTTAAAAGTCGACAAACTCCGCAAGCTTTATATTGTTTTGTAAATCTTGTAAAATTAGACCGGATTAGTGGTCAGTTATTAGCTAACAGGGTTAAAACAAAATAGTGCACTACGATCGCCCCTTTTTCAAGGTGTCAGAGAGTGGATAGGTAAAGAGGTTATTATTCAACTATCCACGGATGCAACCTATGTAAGTGCTAATAAAGAAATTTATAATGAGATTGAATGTTGGATTCATCAATGCTTACGACTTTTGATAGGTGAACAATGATGATACAAAGTGGGGTATTCTATGCAGCGGAGCAGATTTACAAACAAGTCGAAGAACCTATTACAGATCATGTACTGTAGTAAAGTTTCATAATGTTTGCAATGATTCTTGAGAGCAATGCAATGATTCTTGACGTTAATCGGTCGATTTGGATTGGGTCTCCTGAAGCGGGGCTGCTGTAGCGTTGCGCTTAGAGGAAGCATAG